TCCTGGCTAAGTGCCCCATGCGGTCCCGCATCTCCAGCACATAAGGTACGATAGGAACCCCCTCATGTTCTCTCTCTCCCTCCCAGTGCTCTCGGATGAGGTCGAGAGGGCCTCGCACTCGTCGTCCATAGAGCAGCTCGAAGGGAGAGAACCCTGTGGATTCCTGGGGCACCTCTCGATATGCAAACAAGAGGTGCGGCAAGAATCGCTCCCAGTCTCTGTATTCCGCCGTAAAGGTCCGCAGCAATTGCTTTAGGGTACCATTAAAGCGTTCACAGAGACCGTTAGTCTGAGGGCGGTACGGGGAGCTGAGCAGGGTCTTGACACCACAGACCTTCCATAACTGCTGAGTTAGGTCTGCAGTGAACTGGGTCCCTCGGTCAGATAGGATTTCCTGAGGGAATCCCACTCTGGTGAATATCCCGACTAGAGCACTGGCGACAGTGTCAGCCTGGATATTCGTCAGAGCGACGGCCTCTGGGTAGCGGGTAGCATAGTCCACTACTGTAAGAATATACTTCTTACCCGAGGGGCTGGGGTTAGGTAGGGGTCCCACTAAGTTGACTGCCACTCGGCTAAACGGTTCCTCGATCACGGGCATGGGTGACAGGTGAGCTTTAGGGTGATCCCCTCTCTTCCCTACTCGTTGGCATGTGTCGCAGGTACTGCAGTAACGCCGCACGTCCTTCGAGATCCCAGGCCAGAAAAAGGTCTGTGTGATCCTGTAGGCGGTGCGGTTACCCCCTAAGTGCCCTGCCAACGGAATGTCATGTCCAATTCGGAGACGTTCCAACCGGTACTTTCTGGGTACCACTAGTTGGCGCTTCTGCGAAGGGATACAGCCTCTCCTCCTACCTTGGGTCAGCCTGTATAATCTGTCACCCTCCCATATAAAACGCTCCCGCTCATCCCCCCCACTGTCGGCTAATTCCTGATATTTTTGGAGGGTGGGGTCCTTTATAGTTTCCCTCCCAAACTCTTCTGGGGTGTCCCAAGCTATGGGTCTTTCTGCTGTGTTAGGGCTGAGTGTCTGCTTGTGGCTTACCTGGGTCTCCAGGCCTGCTAGAGGATCTTCCTCGATACGGGTCTGTGTGCGGGTGGTCACGGGACAAGCAGCAGCAGTTGTGGGTAAATAAGCTGAAGCTAGAGGGCCAATGTCGTTGCCCAACACGACTTCAGCAGGTAAATTGTCCATGATTCCTACTGTGGTCTTTCCCGACCCGACTCCCCAATCCAAGTGTACCCGGGCGGTGGGTAAGTGAAAAACAGCCCCCCCTGCGACACGGACAGCAATAGTACGGTTAGATACATGTTCTGGTTTTACAAGGTGTTTCTGCACCAAAGTGATGGTAGCGCCAGTGTCCCTTAGGCCTTGTGCTACCTGTCCATTTACACGCACCTCCTGGCGGTGATGCTGGCGGTTATCTGGGGATGCAGCTTGTATGGGGTTTGTCTCGGACAGGATGCCTAAACACTCCTCAGGGCTCCCTTCGGTTTCCAGGCAGTGAGCAGCAGAGGTGCTCTCTGTGTTATTGGTCGAGCGCCTCCAGTTGTTATTGGCTGATCCCAAGGGGAAATAACGGGCAATATGCCCCGTGTTGCCGCAACAATGGCACGTAATTTTGTAAGAATCCCGGGGTTGGTTGTTAGACCCCTGAGGACGCGGAGGCCCTGGGGCCTGAAATTCTGTGCGTGCAGCATTGCAAAACCGTAGGAGCATATGAATGTTGTATACAGCCGAATAGGAAAAACCATGCAAATAGGTTTACACTCCTAGCAGTCCAACTGGAACAGCATACAATAAATCCTCCCCCAATAATGAGACGACACTTCACTTTGAGGGTTAAGCAGGAACTGACTGGACTGGCATATACAGCCTCTTTTATTCCCAATCCACACACTTAGTACTGCCCACAGGGTTTTACATAACCAATAACACACGTACATTACAGAAAGACACTCCCACACAAAATCCTCCCCTCTGGCTGTGATATGATTACTGAACACAATGGTCAATCTAATTATCACAGCCAGAGAAATACAGTTTTTCCACATTATTCATAACTTGAAAAGTATGCATCACATTCATATAAAACTTACATTTTCAGCATACTCCAAATACAAACATATGTCAAAATCAAACATATTGGTCCAGTGGTTCAAAAGTTAAGGAAAAGTCCTATTTGACCAAACGCAGCATGGCTTTTCTGCCCAAAACCAGTTCCACAGAGTCTTCTATCCTGGAGATAATTGGGGAAGTAATCCAATTATCTCCAGGACAGAGGCAAAACTCCATTAGCCACATGGCAGCAAAAGACAATAAAACACATAAAAACATATAACTGTGCAACCATTGCACAAAACAGGTACATTCAACATATCCCCAGATAGCTCAGATCTGAGGGCACATTATTACTGAATGGCGCTCAGAGCACACACATACAGTTCAATTGCCATGGAGCCAAAGTCTTTCCCATAGTCTTTCATTATACAAATGTGGATTCCTGGGGCACCTCTCGATATGCAAACAAGAGGTGCGCCAAGAATCGCTCCCAGTCTCTGTATTCCGCCGTAAAGGTCCGCAGCAATTGCTTTAGGGTACCATTAAAGCGTTCACAGAGACCGTTAGTCTGAGGGCGGTACGGGGAGCTGAGCAGGGTCTTGACACCACAGACCTTCCATAACTGCTGAGTTAGGTCTGCGGTGAACTGGGTCCCTCGGTCAGATAGGATTTCCTGAGGGAATCCCATGGCATAGCTATCTGGGTAACACTGCTCACATAAGGAAAGTACCGAAAGACCCAGCTTTTGGGTCTTTGCAGGGGAAAATCCATCCTTTCAACATGGGGCCATAGTCACAGGGCAGGAGGCCGGCAATCAGTCTTCTCCAATGCCCAGTGGCGAGGCTGGTTCCGCCACATAGTACTTCCTCTCCGATGTTGGCATTGCACCCTCGTACCCAATGTGATGCCACCCTTTGTATCTTGTTTGCCCATTCCATGTGGGAGTCTGCAGCCTTCTTTTTAGACTCCCTGAAGCGACGGCGATACGTTTCCGGGGTGACGGCATATCTGGTGAGCAGTGCAGCCTTCACCCGTCGATACTGTGCAATATCTTCCTCAGTAAGCGCCCAAAAAGCCTCATTTGCTTTTCCTGATAGCTTTCCAGCCAAAATAGTGACCCATTGGTCTGGTGGTATCTGGTGTAGTGAGCACTGCCTCTCAAAGTCAGCCAAATACACGTCAATCTCTTCCTCACTTTCCACAAACGCTTTAAACGCAGTGAACGGTATTTTCTGCCCTGTAGCAGCAGGTGGGGGAGTATGAACTGTATGTGCAATGGGCTGTCTAGCTCTTGCCAGTTCAAGTTCGTGTCCCCTCCTATTTTGTATCTCCGTTCTTGCTTCCCGGAACAGCTGATCTATTAGTTCCACGGATGTTACTGGGTACATGGATAATCTCCGCTGAACAAGATTTGTAATTTCCTCCTCGTCGCTGACAGGGGTAGGTTGGTCCGCGACCTCCATGGATCGATCCATCTCGTCCAGCTCCAGTAGGTCAGCTATCAGCTCTCTCCGTGGTCGGTTGCTGGCACTCCTTCCTCTGGTTTCCAATAGATCCTTTAGTGTGGGTCTTTTCAGTTTAA